TACTCCATTATCAGCCATAAAGTTTTGTGGTAAAATAACTCACTATAAACAATTTATCTAAAATTTTATTAAACTATTTTTAACTTATTTACAATGTAGGTATCTAAAATAATTTCATTTCAATTTACTTAAATTAATAATTATTATTCAAAATATGCAATCAGCTGATTTAGTTTAAAAATTTTTGAATTCGCTAATTATTCTAATTAAGTAAAAATTAAGTATATTTAAAAGATAAATCTCATGTGATCATATGATTGACAGAAATTATTCAAACTGTAACTAAGATGAAACAATATATAACATGTCAAATTAACAAATACCTAATAAACTATTTTAGTAAATGATATTTCGTTTTGAGAAATTTAATAATATTAACAGTTTAAATAATTTCATAAATTTATCATATTAATTTGATAATTGAGTAAATATGCAAAACTCGATTTTGTCACGTTTGAGATGAACCAACAAGTGTATAGCAAAATTTTCTTTATTTTATAAAAACAACTTAAGGTAATTAAAATTCAAATTGACTTGGCATCGAAAACCTAAAACGGAAATTATTAATCAAAAACATAACTATAACAACCACTTTTTTGTTGCTACAACTACTGTTTCACAACCACTTTCACTTTTAGCCTTAATCTATAAGTTGATTGGAAATTATTATCATTTTTCCCGCGGCTATTTTTTCATTATTATAGCTTAAACTTGTTAACTTGTATTGTTATTAATTAATATCTGTTACACATTTCTCTATTAATTTATCTATAATTTTGAGTTTTATTTATCAATATTGAATTTATTTACTGATAACATTACTAATTGAGTATAAAATACTTTTTTAATAGATTTTTTATTAAAGCCCATAAAGTGGTTATTACAACCATTTTGTACTTACATAGCATAATAGTATGTAATTTAAACGATTATATTCAGAAAAAGACCTCTGTTTAGAAAACAATTTTTTCAACTTCAATACTTATATGAGTAAGAATAGTAATATTAATTAAGTACAATATGTACAGTGGCCGTTTTTATTAGTCTTTATTACAATAAGTATAGTTAAGTAGTTAAGTAGATAATTAGAGTTTTAGAAAATTATTTTTTAAAATATAATATTAATATTTGATAGAATATTACAGCAAATGTAATTCGTATATATATATATATATATATTTATAGGTTTTCGAATAATATATTTCAGCTCTCTACGAATGTAATTTAAATACATTTACTTCTACTTGAAAAATGCGGCTTTACGCATCAACGCATAAACACTACACCTCCAACCTTCATACGAAATCAGTTGTGCTTTTGTTGAGGACTACAGTTAACTGGACACTTTCTTTGCAGACCACATAGTCCGAATCGTCCGATCCTTACATTCATATTTCAAAAACAGTGACAAATATAACATCCATTCAGACTGATGCAGTATCATCTACTTTGACTTTTCATATACATTATAACACGAATCAAAACACACATCGAAGAGGATATATGAAGTTTAATATCGTCCATAATTAATATATATTCATGCTATTACAGTATCTACTTAGACTTTTCATATGAATTGTTATGGAAGCTGAACACAGGTTCAGTAAACCCGCACACATATTACCTAATATCTTTTAAGTACAAGTCACCAATAGTAATAAATTAACTAATAGTTAAGATTATACTACTCATATCCAATAAAATAAAGTATGTTTTAAAAAAAAAAAATATGATTTGTAATTCCAATCTTAACAGGTTACTATCTCACATCTCTAAGAAAAAAGACAGCAATAATTGTCCATTCTAAGTAGGGTTAGAGCATAGTCACATGTTTATAATTACAACCTGTCTATTGAAAAATAATCTAGCAATCCATTTAATATTGTAAATATCTCTACGAGTCATCTCAATGAAAATGCGAGATTTTGCATAAATTTCTCAACTCTAACCTCAACTGTGATGAAAAAAATGAAAGAGTGTGCTGCAGATCTTCTACATTGTCAATACATGTTCAACATTTTTAAAACTTAGTTTCTAATGATTCTTTTTCAGCTGCAAGAACTCATTTCAATGAGCTACAATGAAGCTTCTTGGAAAATTGAAATTGGATTAAAATTTCTGAGATTTAAGATTTAAGAAAAAGGCTTAATCTTGAAGATTAGCGCGGTAACATTATCTAACGTAAATTCTAAATTGTTAAATTGTAACATAACTATGTCTCTGACAATAAGACTGATAATAAGCTTAAAATTTTCCATGTTTTATTCCTAATAACATTATTTAACATCAAATACTTTCTATAAGTATTATTAATTATATTAATTGCTTCAGTTAAATTTCCTCCTTTACATCACTTATTTTTACAATGTTCCCAGAATGGTTTATACCATTGAAAACCTTTTCATCGTTCCTTTATTTTACATACTTAATAAATTTTTTCTTTTGTTCTTTTTCTAAAACCGTTAGTTACTTTGAAAAACCATTTATTTTTACATCTTCAGGAATTTTTCATAATATAAATTATGCTGTAAACATGAATTTAATAATTGTGCGGGAACTTCCGGCATGCAATATTATTTCACTGTTACTAATTTGACTCTTTCATGTCTAAACTATTATACTTTCCCACTTGATTGATTCATATTCGTTAGAATGATTTTACTATATTATATCTGCTTAACATTTCGTAATTGTTATAATAAAGTCAACAACCCTTTTGGTATTTAATTCTTTGTCGTTTTCGTTGTCGTTGTCGTAGTTGTTCTTCATATGTTCATAATTTTTATGATGAAATTTTTTTACATAATGATCCCAACAAACTACAGATACAGATACAGATACAAATATAAATACATAAAATAATAACAAAAGAGGGAAAACAGTTAAGTACGTGCAAAAAAATGAGGCTATAAGCCCATTGCTGTAAAATTGGATTAAATTGTGAAATGGTAGCAAAAATATGAACAAAAGTAACTTGTACACACAGAAGAAACCTAAAATGCGGACATGAATCAATCTGGTACGCCGATGGAAGAGAGAGGCCAATAGAGGTTATGTAAACCCATGCTTACACTTGCGCAAACTAAAGCTGGCCAAGAGCATTAAAAACCGCTAACGTAAACAAATCGGTTTGAGCTGAGAAAATAAATAGCAAAAAAGACCAAAAAAAAAAAAAGATACCAGATAGAATGGTGAAAAGAAAATAGAGAATCAAAACAAAAATAAAAACTATTGAAAAAGCTGTAATGATTTATACTTTGGCTTATATGGGAAGTAAAAAATGTGGAAATATTTACGATATAATGAAGGGTCAATATTGGTACTTGACTTTTTTTCTTTTTTTCTTAATGGTTTAAATTCAACTGAGTCATCCAATTTATTCGTTTGTTGCTTATGTATGTGTGCGCAGCTTTACAATCTTTCACGTTGGCGAAACAAAAAATGTTGTGCTCATTATTTAGATTGTTTTGTTTGTTTGAAAAACGTGTAAAATTCTGTGTGAAGGTTCTTTATACAAAGCCAACACGTTGACCGCAAATCATTTCAGCAATTTATCATCCGTCGTATGTATTGTATTCAACGGCGCATAGCCTGCACAAAAAATGCGAAGTATCTGGCGTAAATGCGGCCACAATCTAGTAACCCGGCCAACACCTGCTAATGTTGCTTTAACTCAACTTACATAGTTCTAAGTGCACATTCATGAATATTTGCCGTCGAAAAAAGTGTTCAGTAGCTGCCACCACGTATGACGTTGATATTTTATATGCTGAAATTAAAATAATTAAACATTTTTTTTCCCTTATAAGTAATAAA